CAAAGCTACACAGAGAAACCCTGTCTCAAAAAACCAAAAAAAAAAATAATAATAATAATAAAATAAAAATAAAAATACATGTGTTTGATGGCATACAGCACAAGAGATAGTAATTCCTACATCATGATTTCCCCTTGTATTTTTCAACAATATTTTCCTTGATGTGTTGGAATGTACTATAATAGTTTTATGAATAAAACCAGCTCATATTATTTAGCCAGCATGTGGTTGTCTCAATTAAATTTTGGGAATTACACCATTAATATTATGCCACAAAAATAAAAGAGGTCTCCTTTCCCAAGTTAGTCTTTATTACATTTCTACTCCAAATACCCCCACCCAGAGGAACACTAGAATTCGAAGATTGTAATTGCTTTTAGTTTATATTGTTTACCTCTCCACATTCTCCCTAAGTGTATGTTTTATTATCTAAGTTTTCAAGGCTATGGCACATGATCAGGTGGCCAGAACAATAAGCCTGGTTTGCCAATGGCTTCCTAAAATAATTATCATTATGTTATCTAGTATAAGGTAGTGCTTGAAGGCTATAGGCCTCTTGGGCCTAAGATGGGATCTGTGACCTCACCCAACCTCCCTGAGCCATTTTCTTATCTGCAGACTGATAGGATTAGATTAATACAGTTGCACAGACTCTTTCAAACTCATTCGATGCAGGAGTCTTTAAAAATTCCAAAAGGACAGGTTGGAGTGTGGAAGGACACACCTGTGGGTTGCAGGCCTGACTAGGCTGCAGGAAACTCAAAAATCCTGGGGCAGGGGCCACTAGAGTAAGATGTGCTCTCTCAGAACATTACCTCGTCTGCTTACAGCACATGTCATGGCAGTGTGGGTTGGAGAAACTTAAGTCCGGTATTTAATGAGAAGACTTTTTTTTTTTTCAAAATTATTCTTTTTAAAAGCAGGTTCTAGGCTAGCCTCCAGCTCTAGCACCTCCCCAAAGCAAGAGATAACATACCTTTTTTCCTAATTTCATAACCTCCTCTCCACCCACTTCTCTCATTGGTCTGTCGGAAGTGGCCTGGAGGCTTACAATCTGTTCTTTTTCTTAGGTAAGCCCCAGTAAGGTATTTCCAGGCTAATGCTGCTGATTCCTCCCTGGAGATTTATTTAGATCCGAAGCCGGGCTTCCCCATCTTGGTGGGTGGGGCTAATCGCTTGGCACTCAGTTTAAATCACAGATGGCCAGGTATCGTCCCTGTTCTAGGACCGAAGTTCAGCCTAAAGTCACACGCTGTAGATGCAGGGTTCTGCCGATTCTGGCTTTTAGCAGTCTTTTCCTGCCGAGAGGCGTGGACTGTGCCTGGACAGGGTTTGCCAGCCTCCCGGCGGGAAGGAAGAAGAACAGATGGCCCGCTGGGGGTAGGGGATCACGTGTCAGACCTCACATTGGGCAGGATCCACACCCCTCCCTTTCCCGGCCTGGGCTCTTCTGCTTTGGCGATCCCACCCAGTGCACATAAAGGGCCTACTGGGAAAAGCTGTGTTCGTTTTAGTGAAAAGGGAATTGGGGAAGGTGGTGGGCTTAAGGGGTACATACATAGGACTGAAGGGGTGGGCTCTCCACTACAGTGATGTGCCTGGAACTGAAACCCAATCCGATAAAGCCGGATCTGGCGAAACGACTGTGGCCAGGTTAACACCCAGTGTCTAGAGGGGGCGGGGAGCTCCGGCAAGCGCGAAAACTTACACGACGCCCTACTTTACTCTCGCTCCACTAAGCAGCCTACCGCAAACTCCAGGCCTCTCCATTGCAGAGCGGAAAGGCCATCCGTTCATGCATATGCAGGAGGATAAGTTTAGCCCGCAGCCCCCAGTGCTCAGAGCGGCCTGGCGTGGCGCTCGGAGGCGGGGGCCCCTCTCCGGGTGGTTCAGCCACTTGCGCGCCGAGCGTCTGGGACTGGCATCGCCCTTTTAAAAAGTCTTCCGCAGGCAGCCGCCGCAGCAGCAGCCGGAGGAGGCAGGTTCATCTGAGGACAGTCCCAGTTCTCAGAAATCCCTTCCCTGCTGGAACATCAAGCTCCCTTTGCTGCAGTTGAACAAACTGCCCTAGATTGGGGGACGAGGAACCCGCCCCAAACTCGTGCAAGGAGCTTCGGGCGCCCGCGCCCACGTGAGCTAACCTTGAAATTAGCCCCCACACCTGAGCTGGGGGTGGAGCGACTCGGGAGGGT